GTCGTCTTCGGCCGGCCGGCCGGGCAGCTTGCCGTAGAGAATAGGCACCTTCCACGGCTTTGTCAGGCGCAATGACACGTAGTACGCGTACCTGTACAGTATGGCACCGTGGGGCTCGTCGTCGGTCGGATCCCCGCGGAGCGGCACTCCATCGTACGTCGCGCTCGTCACTGGTGCAGACGTGTACTGCCGGCGGCCCTCGTCTGGAGACGCGATGCCACGTGTCGAGGCAGTCTGCGAGCTCCAATGCCACCTTCTCTGACATGTCCGCAGTGACGGTGTTGGCGAAGTCCGCGACGCCGACCTTCGCCCAGATGCGCGCCTTGTCCTTCGTGAGGAGGTCATCGGCGTCCGCGCTTTGCAAGGACGCCAAGGCGCCGGAGATCTCGAACAGCGCGTGGGGGAGTACTTGCTTGAAGTGCACGGCGCACTCCAAAACGCCCGCGTGGGCGCTGGCTGCTGATCCGTCCTCCCAATTGCCTGTGGCCTCCCATTTGGACAAGCTCTCCTTCTTCTCGGCTGGCAGGGCCTGCAAGTCGCTTTTCCCGAGAGCTTTAGCAAGTGGCCGAGTGCCGGATGCCTCCACGACGATCGTTTCCTTCCTTCCTGGCGGTCAAGTGGCGACCGCCGGAAGGCTCCAAGACCAGGTAGGCATTATATATGTAGAGCGGCTTGAAGATTTCAATGCCGTTCGCCAGGCTCCGAATGTCGGGTCGGAAGATGAGCGGCATCTCCTTGCCCGAGGAGCTGGACAGCGTGACCTTCACGTTGGCCGTGCTGTCTGGTGCTGCAGTGAGCCCGCATACGTCGGTAGCCACGGCAGTCACGTCGACGAGCTGGCTCGACGCGAGCTCGAGCAAGTCGACGGCGGTCATCGGCGGCTCCGCTTCTGACGGGAGTTTGTTGGCAGCCTCGCCGGTGATCAGCTTGGCGGTGAGCTTCTTGTCGGCAAGGTTGAGGACGAAGGCGTGGGGGCACGATTGGAACTGCGGCTTCTTGACAAGCATCTTCATCTTGGCAAACTCGTGGACGCTGTCGTTCTTGTACTTCCTCGTCAGCCCATCCACAGCCTTGGCTCGCTGTGGCCCCGTTCCGAAAAGAACGGCCCCCCCTTTGGTGTAGAGGCCGACTTCGACACGAGCGTGCAGGAGAACACGTGTATGTTCTTCTCCGGCTTTTCCTGCGTGCCCGGGAACAAAACGCGTGCCTGCAAAGCTTTGCAGGCTGCGTTCGTGTTGTTGATCTGCTCGAGAGGGTCCGACATCGCGCTGCCGTGGCTCTGCGCGAGTGACCGGAGAGCGCTGCGGCAAGTGAGGTGTGTCACGCCGCTCGAGCAACAACGGCTGTGGGGTGCGTAATTGATGGCGCTGTGAGCAGACAGGTGGTCCGTGCGGCTGCCGGGGCCCCGCCACTCCTCGGCGGGGCATCAGAAGAATGTAGTCAGGGTTCCGCGCGTGGTGGGGACTCGTGGTCTGTTAGCGACCTCACTTGTGATGTCGTGCCCCTATGGCTTTCCGCGGTCGGATGCCGTGTTTCCTCTGAGTGGTGCGTGGGTGTGGTCTAGCACGGCTGCCTGCGAATGTTGGGGGGCACGATATTACGCATTTTGTGTTGCAAGGTGTGGCTGTAGATTCGCATCCTCATGGCGTAGCGCATGTGTGGGCCTGTGCCAGCGCGCGATTGCGCGCAAGTATATGCACGGCATTGTGCACTACTGTAGCACCGTACCGGCCACGAGGTGTGTTGTGTTCTGAAGTGTCATGTGATGTCCTGTCGCGTATTGTGAAGTGCTGTGGTATCCTGTGGTGCCCCGTTCCGACCCGTGGTGTCCTGTGGTGTCCTGTGGTGTCCCGTTCCGTCCCGCGGGTCTCTCCAAGGCGCGCCCGCGCGCAACATCGTGGAAGGACCACCGCCTCCCCGCAAGGGGGGCTGGGTCGGCGTTTCCCCGGCGCGTCGCGCGTCCGCGGCTTCGCAGGACATCGCAGGGATGCGTTTTCGGTGTTGCGTGCAAGTCGAATGCCCTTGCGGTTTCCGTCGTGGCTTCCGCTGTGGTTGCCGTTGTGAATGCGAGCGCGCGTCCGCTGGATGTCCCAGGCCTCCGCAAATTCCCTTGCAATGTCTGCGATGGACACCGGCGCGGTTCCCAGCGTGTTTTCCGCTGCATGCTCCGTTATGGTTGCCGCCGCGGGTTCCGTAGTGAGGGTGGATCGCTGGCCTCCGTCGCGGTTTCCGGCGTGGCCCACGTTGTGGTTTCCGCCGTGGTTTCTCCCGTGGTTGCTGTTGTCGTTACGTTGTCGGCGGTGCGTGCATGCCCCATGCCCTTGTGGTTTCCGTTGTGGTTTCCGCCGTGGTTGCCGTTGTGGACGCGCGCGTGCGCCCGCTGGATGTCCCATGCCTCCGCAATTGCCCTTGCAATTTCTGCGATGGACACCAGCGCGGCCCCCAGCGTGGTGTCCGCTTCGTGCTCCGTTGTGGTTGCCGCCGCGGGTTCCGTAGAGGGTGGCTCGCTGGCCTTCGTCGCGGTTTCTGGCGTGGCCCCCGTTGTGGTTTCCGCCATGGTTTCTCCCGTGGTTGCTGTTGTCGTTACGTTGTCGGCGGTGCGTGCGTGCCCCATGCCCTTGTGGTTTCCGTTGTGGTTTCCGCCGTGGTTGCCGTTGTGGACGCGCGCGTGCGGCCCTCGTTGCGGTTTCCGCCATGGTTTCTCCCGTGGTTGCTGTTGTCGTTACGTTGTCGGCGGTGCGTGCGTGCCCCATGCCCTTGTGGTTTCCGTTGTGGTTTCCGCCGTGGTTGCCGTTGTGGACGCGCGCGTGCGGCCCTCGTTGCGGTTTCCGCCATGGTTTCTCCCGTGGTTGCTGTTGTCGTTACGTTGTCGGCGGTGCGTGCGTGCCCCATGCCCTTGTGGTTTCCGTTGTGGTTTCCGCCGTGGTCGCCGTTGTGGACGCGCGCGGTGGCGTGCCCCCGTTGTGGTTTCCGCCGTGGTTTTCTCCCGTGGTTGCTGTTGTCGTTACGTTGTCGGCGGTGCGTGCATGCCCCATGCCCCTCTGGTTTCCGTTGTGGTTTCCGCCGTGGTCGCCGTTGTGGACGCGCGCGTGCGCCCGCTGGATGTCCCATGCCTCCGCAATTTCCTTTGCAATTGCTGCGATGGACACCGGCGCGGTTCCCAGCGTGGTTCCGCTGCGTGCCCCGGTGTGGTTGCCGCCGCGTGTTCCGTAGAGGGTGGCTCGCTGGCCTTCGTCGCGGTTTCTGGCGTGGCCCCCGTTGTGGTTTCCGGCGTGGTTTCTCCCGTGGTTGCTGTTGTCGTTACGTTGTCGGCGGTGCGTGCATGCCCCATGCCCTTGTGGTTTCCGTCGTGGTTTCCGCCGTGGTTGCCTTTGCGCCCGCTGGATGTCCCATACCTCGACAATTTCCTCTGCAATTTCTGCGATGGACACTGGCACGGTTCCTAGCGTGGTCTCCGCTGCGTGCTCCGTTGTGGTTGCCGCAGCGGGTTCCGTAGAGGGTGGCTCACTCGCTCTCGTCGCGGTTTCCGGCGTGGCCCCCGTTGTGGTTTCCGCCGTGGTTTCCGCCGTGGTTGCTGTTGTCGTTACGTTGTCGGCGGTGCGTGCATGCCCCATGCCCTTGTGGTTTCCGTCGTGGTTTCCGCCGTGGTTGCCGTTGTGGACGCGCGCGTGCGCCCGCTGGATGCCCCATGCTCCCGTAGTTTCCCTTGCAAGTGCTGCGATGGACACCGGCGCGGTTCCCAGCGTGGTTTCCGCTGCGTGCTCCGGCGCGGTTGCCGCCTCGGGTTCCGTAGAGGGTGGCTCACTGGCCTTCGTCGCGGTTTCCGGCGTGGCCCCCGTTGTGGTTTCCGCCGTGATTTCTCCCGCGGTTGCTGTTGTCGTTACGTTGTCGGCGGTTCGTGCATGCCCCATGCCCTTGTGGTTTCCGTTGTGGTTTCCGCCGTGGTTGCCGTTGTGGACGCGCGCGTGCGCCCGCTGGATGTCCCATGCCTCCGCAATTTCCCTTGCAAGTGCTGCGATGGACACCGGCGCGGTTCCCAGCGTGGTTTCCGCTGCGTGCTCCGTTGTGGTTGCCGCCGCGGGTTCCGTAGAGGGTGGCTCACTCGCCTTCGTCGCGGTTTCCGGCGTGGCCCCCGTTGCGGTTTCCGCCGTGGTTTCTCCCGTGGTTGCTGTTGTCGTTACGGTTGTGGCGGTGCGTGCATGCCCCATGCCCGCGTGGTTTCCGATGTGGTTTCCGCCGTGGTTGCCGTTGTGGACGCGCGCATGCGCCCGCTGGATGCCCCATGCCTCCGCAATTTCCCTTGCAATCTCTGCGATGGACACCGGCGCGGTTCCCAGCGTGGTTTCCGTTGCATGCCCCGTTGTGGTTGCCGCCGCGGGTTCCGCAGAAGGTGGCTCACTCGCCTTCGTCGCGGTTGCCGGCGTGGCCCCCGTTGTGGTTTCCGCCGTGCTTTCTCCCGTGGTTGCTGTTGTCGTTACGTTTTCGGCGGTGCGTGCATGCCCCATGCCCTTGTGGTTTCCGTTGTGGTTTCCGCCGTGGTTGCCGTTGTGGACGCGCGCGCGTCCGCTGGATGTCCCATGGCCCCGTAATTCCCCCTCCAATTGTACAGCGATGGACACCGGCGCGGTTCCCAGCGTGGTTTCCGCTGCGTGCTCCGTTGCGGTTGCCGCCGCGGGTTCCGTAGAGGGCGGCTCGCTAGCCTCCGTCGCGGTTTCCGGCGTGGTTCCGTTACGGTTTCCGGTAGGGTTTCTTCCGTGGTAGCTGTTGTCGTTGCGTTTCCGGCGGTGCGTGCGCGCCCCATGCCGTTGTGGTTTTCGCTGTGGTTTCCGCTGTTGTGGTTTCCTCCCCCCCGCCTTCCTCCTGCCCCAGCGCCTGTTCCACCATCATTGTCGCCCCCCATCCAGCCCTGCCGCCCCGCCCTCGCGACTCATCATCTTCCGCGCGCGCGCGGTTCCCGACGGTAGCTCCGGGCACGTTGGCGCGGCGGCAGCCGAACAAGCAAGATGAAATCGCGCGCCGTCCCTGGCGGAGTCAGGCCAAGACGGTTTCAGATGCGCCCATTCGGGCGACGCGGTGGGGGCCGCCGCGGCGACAGCGCGCCCGATCCCTCGCCACGCCCCCTCGACGATGGGATCGAAAAAATACGCTCTATGGAAGGGCGCCTTGGTGACCGTGGGGTCCGCAAGCCCTGCGCGAGGACTGGCGCCAGGCTCTTGCTCTGGCGGGGCCTCCTGGAGGGGAGGGAAGGGCACGAAACCTGAGAAATAATGCGGCATAGCCGCGCCCCGCTCGCTCTGGCGGCGCCGCCCTGGCGCTCTGGCGGGGCCACCCGGCGGCGGCGGCGGCGGCAGCCAGACGTCTAAGGATTGTCCGAGCCGACGCCCCAAGAGTTCTGGCATTGCAGGGTGCCGTCACGGGCCGCGTGCACAGCCGGCAACGTGCGCGTAGGCGTTCGGGCGCCCGCGCCAGTGGAAGGCGCCCCCCACGATGCCACGACGGCGGTGAGTGTCCACCCGCCCTGTCGGGAGACTGACGGACAGCGTTCTCGTAGCTATCCGTGACCAGCACCGACGTGGCCAGCGTGAAGTTCAAGGAGGGCGTTTGCACGAACAGGCTGGGGCGGCTGCTGAACACCTGGTCTGGCCACTGGGGGCCGGCGGGCATGCGTTCCTCCATGGCGATATTGAGCAGGGTCTGCGGCTCGACAGCGATGCGGAACTTGGCCGCGAGAGCCCGCCCCGCGCACTGCATCGACGCGTACATCGAGCACAGCGGGAAGGCGCCTTGGTTGAGCACCGTTTGGGTCAGGATCGCCCTCGCGAACATCGCGAACAAGTCAGTCGGCTGCGCGCCCTGCCCTGCGGCAGTCTGCGCCTGCCCCGCCCTCGATGCCAACTCCCGAGACAACATCGAAGGAGGCGTCGCGGGGCACGGGCGCGGCTCGAGCGCGGCAGTCTGCGTCGGCCCCGCCGTCGCGGGCACCCCCCGAGCGAGCATAGAGGGAGGCGTCGAGGGGCACAGACGCGGTTGGGACTGCTCCAATCGCGCCTGCTTGGCGGGTTGCTGCCCCGCTGCCCCCCGAGCGAGCATAGAGGGAGGCGTCGAGGGGCACAGACGCGGTTGGGAGTGCTCCAGTCGCGCCTCCTGGGCGGGTTGCTGCCCCGCTGCCCCGCTCGCCGCTGCCGCGGCAGCGCCGCGGGCCCTCTGGGCAGCGTCGCTAGGCGGCTCAGCTCCGCTTTGCCGCGGCTGCGGCGCCGCCGCGGTCAGCTCTGCCGGGGCTGCTCTGGTCGCCTCTGCCATGGCCGCGCCGCGGACGACATGAGCGGCGCTCCTCGGTTGCTTCGGTCGTCTCTGCTGCGGCTGCGGCGCTGCTGCCGTCAGCTCTGCGGTGGCTGCTCTGCTCGGCCCTGCCGCTGCTGCGACCTGGGCGGGTCTGCTCGGCAGCTCTGCTCGGCTCTCTTGTGGCTGAGGCGTCGGCGCTGTTGTGCGCGGCTGTGCCGGGCTGCCCTGCGCCGCCTGGCGTTCCGCGACGACCTCGCGCCGCCGCCGGAGAGCAGCAAGACTCCGGGGGGTCAAAGTGCTCTCGTCGACGTCAGCACAAAGAGCGCAGAGCATGCTGCCAGATTCCACGGCGACCTTGCCAAGGAACGACGGACCACCATCGGGCGCGAAGGTGCAACGAGGGTTGTTACACCGTGGAGCGGGCATGAAGGACGCGTTGGCCGACAGAGCTCTTTACTGGCAGAGGCCCGCGACTTGGGGCCATGACGGCTAGCACCGGAATCCCCGCACATGCCATGCTTCCGCAAGAGGAATGCTTGCAGAGCACCATCTTCCCCCTCCTCCCCATCGTCATCCTACTCCTGATCCTACTGATACGCATAGCCGCTCCTACGTGTAGTCCCACTCGCAACCTCCAGAGGCCCGGAGCCGGACCTGGGACCGTCCAGAACGAAAGCTCGAACCGCGCCTCTTCGAGGCTTCTGTGACCCTGTTTGACTCTCCGGGCGTGTATGGAGGGTTTGTGGGGACTGCTTTGGGCCGTCGTGGCGTTCTCTTGGACTGTCTTGCGGATGTCTGGGGCAGTCATGGAGCTTCTTCGGGCGCTCTGAGGGGCCACTGGGCGGCTCTTGGGGGCCTCTTGGAAATCTCTTGGGTGCGTCTTGGGTCTGTTGGGGCGCTTTGGGGGTCTCCTGGGAGTCTCTTGGGGCCCTGTGGGGGTTCTCTGAGGGGCCTCCGGGGGGTCCCCTGGGCCGTTTGGTGGCCTTCCAGGAGCGATTCCAAGATAATGCTGGTTCGGATTCCCCTCCGGGGCCGATGTGAGCCTCTCCGCAAGAGGAATGCTTGCAGAGCACCATCTTCCCCCTCCTCCCCATCGTCATCCTACTCCTGATCCTACTGATACGCATAGCCGCTCCTACGTGTAGTCCCACTCGCAACCTCCAGAGGCCCGGAGCCGGACCTGGGACCGTCCAGAACGAAAGCTCGGACCGCGCCTCTTCGAGGCTTCTGTGACCCTGTTTGACTCTCCGGGCGTGTATGGAGGGTTTGTGGGGGCTGCTTTGGGCCGTCGTGGCGTTCTCTGGGACTGTCTTGCGGATGTCTGGGGCAGTCATGGAGCTTCTTCGGGCGCTCTGAGGGGCCACTGGGCGGCTCTTGGGGGCCTCTTGGAAGTCTCTTGGGTGCGTCTTGGGGGTCTGTTGGGGCGCTTTGGGGGTCTCCTGGGAGTCTCTTGGGGCCCTGTGGGGGTTCTCTGAGGGGCCTCCGGGGGGTCCCCTGGGCCGTTTGGTGGCCTTCCAGGAGCGATTCCAATATAATGCTGGTTCGGATTCCCCTCCGGGGCCGATGTGAGCCTCTCCGCAAGAGGAATGCTTGCAGAGCACCATCTTCCCTCTCCTCCCCATCGTCATCCTACTCCTGATCCTACTGATACGCATAGCCGCTCCTACGTGTAGCCCCACTCGCAACCTCCAGAGGCCCGGAGCCGGACCTGAGGACCGTCCAGAACGAAAGCTCGGACCGCGCCTCTTCGAGGCTTCTGTGACCCTGTTTGACTCTCCGGGCGTGTATGGAGGGTTTGTGGGGACTGCTTTGGGCCGTCGTGGCGTTCTCTTGGACTGTCTTGCGGATGTCTGGGGCAGTCATGGAGCTTCTTCGGGCGCTCTGAGGGGCCACTGGGCGGCTCTTGGGGGCCTCTTGGAAATCTCTTGGGTGCGTCTTGGGGGTCTGTTGGGGCGCTTTGGGGGTCTCCTGGGAGTCTCTTGGGGCCCTGTGGGGGTTCTCTGAGGGGCCTCCGGGGGGTCTTGGTGGCCTTCCAGGAGCGATTCCAAGATAATGCTGGTTCGGATTCCCCTCCGGGGCCGATGTGAGCCTCTCCGCAAGAGGAATGCTTGCAGAGCATCATCTTCCCCCTCCTCCCCATCGTCATCCTACTCCTGATCCTACTGATACGCATAGCCGCTCCTACGTGTAGCCCCACTCGCAACCTCCAGAGGCCCGGAGCCGGACCTGGGACCGTCCAGAACGAAAGCTCGGACCGCGCCTCTTCGAGGCTTCTGTGACCCTGTTTGACTCTCCGGGCGTGTATGGAGGGTTTGTGGGGGCTGCTTTGGGCCGTCGTGGCGTTCTCTTGGACTGTCTTGCGGATGTCTGGGGCAGTCATGGAGCTTCTCGGGCGCTCTGAGGGGCCACTGGGCGGCTCTTGGGGGCCTCTTGGAAGTCTCTTGGGTGCGTCTTGGGGGTCTGTTGGGGCGCTTTGGGGGTCTCCTGGGAGTCTCTTGGGGCCCTGTGGGGGTTCTCTGAGGGGCCTCCGGGGGGTCCCCTGGGCCGTTTGGTGGCCTTCCAGGAGCGATTCCAATATAATGCTGGTTCGGATTCCCCTCCGGGGCCGATGTGAGCCTCTCCGCAAGAGGAATGCTTGCAGAGCACCATCTTCCCTCTCCTCCCCATCGTCATCCTACTCCTGATCCTACGGATACGCATAGCCGATCCTACGTGTAGTCCCACTCGCAACCTCCAGAGGCCCGGAGCCGGACCTGGGACCGTCCAGAACGAAAGCTCGGACCGCGCCTCTTCGAGGCTTCTGTGACCCTGTTTGACTCTCCGGGCGTGTATGGAGGGTTTGTGGGGGCTGCTTTGGGCCGTCGTGGCGTTCTCTTGGACTGTCTTGCGGATGTCTGGGGCAGTCATGGAGCTTCTTCGGGCGCTCTGAGGGGCCACTGGGCGGCTCTTGGGGGCCTCTTGGAAGTCTCTTGGGTGCGTCTTGGGGGTCTTTTTGGGTGCTTTGGGGTCTCCTGGGAGTCTCTTGGGGCCCTGTGGGGGTTCTCTGAGGGGCCTCCGGGGGGTCCCCTGGGCCGTTTGGTGGCCTTCCAGGAGCGATTCCAATATAATGCTGGTTCGGATTCCCCTCCGGGGCCGATGTGAGCCTCTCCGCAAGAGGAATGCTTGCAGAGCACCATCTTCCCCCTCCTCCCCATCGTCATCCTACTCCTGATCCTACTGATACGCATAGCCGCTCCTACGTGTAGCCCACTCGCAACCTCCAGAGGCCCGGAGCCGGACCTGGGACCGTCCAGAACGAAAGCTCGGACCGCGCCTCTTCGAGGCTTCTGTGACCCTGTTTGAATCTCCGGGCGTGTATGGAGGGTTTGTGGGGGCTGCTTTGGGCCGTCGTGGCGTTCTCTTGGACTGTCTTGCGGATGTCTGGGGCAGTCATGGAGCTTCTTCGGGCGCTCTGAGGGGCCACTGGGCGGCTCTTGGGGGCCTCTTGGAAATCTCTTGGGTGCGTCTTGGGGGTCTGTTGGGGCGCTTTGGGGGTCTCCTGGGAGTCTCTTGGGGCCCTGTGGGGGTTCTCTGAGGGGCCTCCGGGGGGTCCCCTGGGCCGTGTGGTGGCCTTCCAGGAGCGATTCCAAGATAATGCTGGTTCGGATTCCCCTCCGGGGCCGATGTGAGCCTCTGGGCGCCTCGTGGATATCGCTTGGGGGTCTCTTAGGGCGCTTTGGGGGGGCCCTGTGGGGGTTCTCTGAGGGGCCTCCGGGGGGTCCCCTGGGCCGTTTGGTGGCCTTCCAGGAGCGATTCCAAGATAATGCTGGTTCGGATTCCCCTCCGGGGCCGATGCGAGCCTCTGGGCGCCTCGTGGATATCGCTTGGGGGTCTCTTAGGGCGCTTTGGGGATCCCCAGAGGGGCCTTCGGGGGCCCCCTTGGGCCTTGTTGAGGCCTTCCGGTAGCGATTCCCAGACAAAGCTGGTGCGGAGTCCCCTCCGGAGCTGATTGTTTAGGGATGTCTCGAGCGAAACGGCCTTTTTGGGCAATCCGCCAGCGAGTTTCCCGGTGCGGCGCGGACCCCATAATTCTTTACCGCCAACAAACGGTCCACGCCAGGGGCGCTTCCCGTCATCCGCCGACCCCTTGGGGGTTCATCGGCGTGTGAGATGTTCCCCCTCCCCAAACCCCTCCCCCGGGAGCCCCCGGGAGCCTGGTCCGGTCCATTTGGAGGGGGGGGGGGTCCGGCCGGACGGCCCCGGGCGGCCCCGGACGGCCCCGGAGGTCCCATCCGCTCCCCAAAATCTTGCAAAAACGAATAAAAATAGTGTAGGGACGCGTCTGGTGGCATCGAAATGGGTTTGGGACGCCCAACGAGCGCTCCAAGACGCCCAAGTTGGCCCGAAGACGGGCCACGAGGCGTCCTCGACGGCAGAAGAGGTCCCCACGAGCCCCCCCGAGGGCCTCCGAGATGCGTTCCACGAGGGTCCCTAGACGCAAAAATTGGGCCATTTCCTTCGTGAAATGTATATGTTTCACAAATTCCGCTTTGGACCTCTCCGATGCTCCCCGACGGCCCAAGAGGCCCCCAAACCCGCTCCCAGACGGCCCCAGAAGCCTCGCAGAGGGTCCCCCACAGACCCCTAGAGGGCCCAAGATGGACCAACAGGCGTCCAGGATGGCCCAAGAGGGCTCCGACAACGGCCCCAAGAGCGCTCCAGGAGCGCTGCGAGTTGCCTCCAGAAAGCTCCACATGGTCCCAGACGGTCCAAGAGCGATCGGAAACATCGACGACGGCCTCCAAACAGCTGAAGAGGCCCCCAAGACGCCCCAAGAGGCATCCACGATGCGCCCCAAGAGGGCATCTAGACGCAACAAATCCCTCGTTTCCGTTGTAAAACGTATATGTTTGTGTTCACACGTGCGCCTTTTGGGGTGCCCTCCGCTCCTGGACGGCCCCAGAGCCACCCAGACCAGCTCCCAGACGGCCCAAGACGCCTCCAAGGGGGTCCCCACAGTG